CACAAGTTAAAGGAATCAAATAATTACGGATTTGAAATTTAACTTAGCTATAGATTGCAAAACAAGATAAACTAATAGACCTTTTTAGCAATCAAGCATGGCAACCATATAATTACGAGCAGAAGAACATTCAATATTGAAAATACAGATTAAATTATGAATCTAGATGGACCTCATAATTAGAATGTTTCCAAGGCTTCGGTATCCTTTGATCAAGCACCAAGAATTAGTTACAATTCATGAATCTATGAACAAAATAATGAAGAATGAAATTTGGAAGCGTTCTGTACGTTCTTATCTCGTTATAGGGATTTAAAATATGTATTTATACTTGTTTCCATATGTAGTTGACTTAAATTTGGAAACCAGAATTTTCGTGTCGGGAATGAAATATGCGGACGCTTAGTAGTAAGTCATGCGGTCGCATAGAACATTGAAAATTAATTCTGAAATTCGCTGAAACACTACTTGCGACCGCACAGTTTTGCCAATTTTTCATCGGACATCTTTTATTGTTTTGGTCATATCTTTCTCTCTTGATATTCGATTGAGGCGATTCAAGATGTGTTGAAAAGCTAACTCAAAAGAATACAACGTTACTTCAGATATCATCTTCCAATTCGATCGTTTCCCTTGTCAAAAATGGGTCTCAATATGAGGCTGAAAAATCGGTGCATAACTTTTTCGATTGGAAATTGATGTGTGATCATACTTTGACGATATTTCATCCCTTTGATGTCTTGTTTCATCCAATTGACTCCTAACACTCACAAATCTTCATCATTTGGTTCGACACAAATTTTGTGTATTTGCACATTAGTCCTTGAACTTTCATTTCCTTTCACTTTGATTCATTTTCACCAATTTCTTCCAAATTACGCCATATCCATAGAATTGCCACCTAAATCAAAATATGAATGTAATGAGTACATTTTGGCACAAAATAAGCATACGAGCGCATAAAATGAGAAGGGAAAAACATGCATTTNGTTGCATAAAATAAGGAGGAAAAAAATATGCATTTTACATTCCTATCAATATATTATCTAAAATTATCTTACATTTGATAGTATCTAGTACATGCTAATAAGTATAGTTGAAAGATACATTTATTTTGCTATGTGAAACAGTCCATTGAATACTGTAAATAGAGGCACTCTCTCGTCATTTGTAATAAACCAATTTAGAGATTGAATACAAGTTCCTTCTCTAGCTTTTTCAACCTTTCAAAGATTATCCTAGAAGTACCTCTAGCATCGGGGTCAGTGCTGCGCGCCCAGTGGTGGGCAAAAAAAACAGGCAGGGGCGCTGGCGTAGCGGCGTCCTGGCATTCTGCCCCCCCCCCCCCCCTCCCTCC